GAGAAGCCAGGAAGATCAGCCAGGTCCACAAGGTAAAGCACTGATGCGCTGAGAGCTTCCCCTTGCCAAGTGTGTCCTTGTAGGTGCTCAGTGAATTGCTGGATTTTATTCCTGGTGAGCGAGAGGCCTGGCCATACTTGTCTTTGAGGGGCATGATTTGGGGTAGGCCTAGCAGATTCTCTGGGGGCGAGGTTCAGATGGAGAAGTGGGTAGAGGCACCAGAGATTCCTGCCATGGGGTTGACATTCTTGGCCTGACAGATAAGGGCAGGTCTTCCGCTAAGGATGCCTTCAGCTTGAGCCTTGGGCCTGGCTAGGAAAACACAGGGAGGTGCATGGCACCCCCAGCTCAGTTTTGGGCATTTCCAGGAGGGGTTCAGCAGGGCTAGATGTTGGAGGCCGGAACGAAAACATGTCTCTAGTATTTGGTGATTAGGAGGCACTTCTTGGAGGGTAAATTTGAGGGTGATAAAATGAAACTGGTGAGGATGTTGAGAGAAGGTGGGTGAGGCAGTGGCAGGGACACCTGTGGCTGCTGGTACTCATTCCCATTGCCTGGCCTCGTAGTCTTCATCTGTCTGCCTCTGGTGACTCTGCCCAGGGCATGGTCTGTCTTCCCTTTTTTCGTCTCTCCTCCCACTGCTGCTGCTTTCTTTCCAGTCTGGCTTCTTGGGCAGGCTCAGTTAGGCAATGCTGGCTCTGGGCAGCAGCTGGGGGTGGTAGCCTGCAGGCCAGGGCAGAGGGTAGGATTGGCAGGGGAGCATCTTGAATGTTGGGGGGACAGTCATGCCATGGCTGGCCTGAATTTTTGAAGCTACCAGGCTTGACCTGCTTGGGACATGGGTCCCACCATTCTGTCATGGAAGGAGGAGCCAGAAGGCAAGGGTGTGCTGCCCTGCCCCTCCCTCCCCGCCCCTTCCTCCAGCTCCTCCCTGCCTGGCTGAGCCAGCACTTTTCTTCTCTCCTTTATCTGCTCAAAAAGTACAGGGTGTTCTGTTTCTCCTGCGCATACAGATCAAGGAGCGGATGTTATTTATTTCTTCCTAAAGCTGGAGTCAAGAGGACAGGCAGGCACTGAGGAGTGTGAAGTGATCCTTCTTCTTCAATAAGGCATTTTCTCATAAAATTAAAAAAAAATAAACACTCAAATCTGAAAGGAAAAAGATGTCACAAATCAACAGAAAACAAGTTGCTGCTCACCTCCTCCTCTCCACCCTGGCTAGAGATAACAGTGCCTGAAGGTCTAGTTCAGCCTTTATCTGAGGGCCAGGTGCATCGTAGCTGGTCCTGCACCTGTTTGTCCCTCCCTTTCAGTTTGGACCCCAGTGTGTTGGCCCCATGGCCATGGGGTGGACTCCTCATCTCTCCACCCTCTGGGGGTTGTGTGGGGCCCTTTTCTGGCTTCTTGGAGGGCCGCCTGAGACAAGGCCTGTGGAGGGCCTGTTTTAAGGTCAGGGGCACAGGTGACTTACCTGGCCCCTGCCTACCTACTGCTACCCCACGTGTAATGTCTGAGCTCAAGATCTTTGATACACCAGGAACTCCAGGCTGTCTCAGTCAGTGGTCACCTTAAAGGCAAACTGCCTACCTGCATTTCTCACCATTCATTCCTGACCCCACACCCAAAGGCAGTCTGCTCATAATTTAGCCACAAAACTCTACAAATGATTTTCACACTTGAGTTTCTTGAAAATGCTGACAATCTTGTGACCTCCATAGAAAGCCTTATTTGACTTCCAGGAGGACAACTCAGTGGGAACAAGCTGGCCTCTTGGGAGAGAAGGAAAGAGAGGCTGGGAAGGCGGGAAGTTCAGGGAGCCGTCTGGGAAGGCGCAGCAGGTCCAAGCATTCAGTTTCCCAAGCCAGCAGCTTAGCTAGATCCCGGGCTGTCAGAGGTGGTGCCCCACGGAGCTGGAGAGAGGGGTTCTGTGATGAGACTTCAAAGGGGGGCAGGACTCCTAATTTCATCCCAGTCACACCCTGGGTCCCCCAAGGGCTTTACAAGAAGGGGTTCTCCAGTAAGATTTGAGAACCACTCCAGGGATCCCACCCTTTATTGTATAAAAGAGGTTGTGCCGGAGGGTGGCCTCAGGCCGGGGTAGGGATGGGGGCCCAGCGACCAGCATGCAGGCGGGGCCTCTAAATCCTGGGACTGGGGCATGGGGGCGGGGCGGGCGGCAGCGCCACGTGGCTTCACAGGGTGCCGGGCAGTGGCCACATCGCAGCCGCTGGAGCACCCCGTGTTTACGAACCTGACGCAAGTCCGCGTCGCTGGGCTGAGCCTTCCTCCTCACGGACCGCCCTGGCGGCAGGTGCGGGCAGCCACACGCTCACCTCTAAATTTAGTCCCACCAGAAGGAGCCCTGGGGGAGGGCAGAGAAAGGAGGAAAGGAGTCAGGCAGCCCTGACCCCTGCGCGCCCAGGAGGCCGGACAGAGCACCACTGGGGGCAGCGGGCGCAGGAGCGCAGAAGGAGGGAGGAGCATTGGGAAAGGTGGGACACAGGCTCTCCTGCAAGCGGGCGGGAGCCCCTGCCTGAAGAGAGACGGCCTCAGGGCTCCGGGCCCCAGGCGCCACCTTCCGGCTCTCTAGGGAGACGGTCCTGCGCGGAGTCGGCGGCCTGGGTCTCGGGGGTTTGCTGGGAGTTTGGGGACGGGAGTCGGGGGACATTCCCATCCATGCCCAGGTGTGGCGTCAGCAGGTGGAATCAGTGGGGGGAACGTGCAAGGAGCAGCTTTTTAGCCTAAGCATATTTAGGGAAAAAATTCCTTTGCTAAACCTATGATAAAAAGATGTTAGAGGGAGAAGTACCAAATGATTTCACTCATCTGGGGAGCATAAGAACAAAGCAAAAACTGAAGGAACAAAACAGCAGCAGACTCCCAGAACCCAAGAATGGGCTAACAGTTGCCAAAGGGAAAGGGCCTTGGGTAGGGGATGGGAGGGAGGGAGAAGGAGAATAAGGGGCATTACTATTAGCACACGTAACGTAGCGGGGTTGGGCACGGGGAAGGCAGTATAGCACCGAGAAGACAAGTAGTGACTCTATAGCATCTTAATATGTTGATGGACAGTGACTGTAATGGGGTATGTGGTGGGGACTGGATAATGGGAAACTAGTAACCACAATGTTGCTCATGTGATTGTATGTTAATGATACCGAAAAAAAAAAAGATGTTAGAGGACGCTGTTCACTGGTGGACTGAAGATGAGTGGTCAGACCTGAAGATGGGAAAAGAAGGAAGTCAGTGTCAGCTTTTTTTTTTTTTTAAATGGGCCAGAAATGAATATCTCAATGCTTACTGAGTTATACACACATACATGTAGCGAATGGCACAAATCCTGAATGTGTAGTTCAGCAGATCTATCTTTATATGCATACTGTGTAACCACCATTCAGATCAAGGTGTATATTCCTCCCCCCCCCGCCCCAGAAAGTTCCCTCCTGACCCTTTTCAGTCATCACCCCTCCCAGTCTCTCCTCTGTCATCACAGATTCATTTTACCTCTTCATGAACATCATGTAAATGGAGTCACATGGTGTATGTGCTCTTCTGGCTCTGGCTTCTTTTGCTCAATCTGATGTTGCTAGGAGTGTCAGTAGTTTGATTCTGCTTATTGCTGAGGAATATTCCCATGTTTGAATATGCTACACATAGCACAATATATTAATCCATTCTCCTGTCCATGGACTTTCAGGTTGTTTCTGTTTTTTTATGGCTGTTGTGAATAAAGCTGCTGTGAACATTGTTTAGCATGTTTATTTGTTGGAATATGCCCTGTTTCTCTCTTGGGTGCATTCTTGGGAGTGGGATTGCTGGGTTATGCTGAGGTTTATTAGGGAGGGGGGGATGTTTTTTTTATATAGTCATCTCCAAAGCCTGGCAGCTGCCTTCCACCCACATTGCTGCCCTGGTGTCAGGTCCTGGATGCTAGTAGTCTGCAGCTTCTGCCCCTGAAACATCAGCAAAGGCCACTGGAATCTAAGTTGCTTGGGTTGGAGAAAGAGCCAGGACAGGGTCAAAGCTGAGTGTCTCCTCAGGATGGCCCACAGATACCTTTAAACCCTCATGGTTTCTCTTGGAATAGAAGGTAGCCTCTTTCAGCCCTGGGGCCAGATTCAGGGACCCCCTTGGCCGCGCAGCTATCAGCTCCCTAGTCTGGCGTCTCTGAGCAAGCTGGCTTAGTGTAACTGTCAATTTGATGTCTGACCTCTGGTGCCACGGGTCCTCATGATCCACCGTTTCCTGGGCTCCTCGTTGCTTTGCGGTGACTGAGGGGCTGGGTGGCTGGGGAAAACAACCAGAGACCTACCCGGAATAGCAGTTGCTGGTCCAACACCAGCCTCGTGGCACTCTCTTGGGGGGAGGGCGGGACTCTGTCCTGCCCACCAAATTGCCATCTCATTGAGGCTGTGAAAGACTCACAGAAAGCCAGAGACGACAAGGGGCAAAGGAGAGAGTGCCAGGGAAGAGCCAGGCAAGTGAGGGAAAGCAGAGGGTCCAGCACTGTGTGTGCCAGTGTCTTGACGTCCCTGTGAGCATTCTGAGGTCCATGTGAACGTCCTGGGGTCAGTGTGAGCTGGACCACAGCAGCCATGCTGGGCCAAGCTGGTTCAGGGTCAGCAGTGCCAGGCTCAGTTTCTCCTGACTTTGGCCTTCTTGGTCATCCCCTTCCTGGCCAGCTCTTGTCTCAGCCTTGGAGAAGAGGCAGTGCCTAGCAGGCTTGGAGTGGGATTGATGGATTTCAGGGACTTAGGATGGGCTCCCAGCTCTCCCGCTTGCTGGTGGAGCCCACAGTGTATCTTCCCCACCTCTCTTTTTCCTTGGTCTCTCCTTCCCCCACCACCATATCCTTTGGAGATGATTCTTCTTGTCCAGGTCCTCAGGGAGGAGTGGGAGGGCTCCAGGTTCCCCCTTGAGGGAAGAGCTCACAAGTGTCCCCTTGGTACAGATGGGAAGTGGAGGCAGGAGAGGTGAGTGTAACACCCTTTCCCCTGCAGGTTCCTAGGAGGCGAGTACGGACGGTATGCAAAGTTGTGAATCCAGTGGCGACAGCGCGGATGACCCTCTCAGTCGTGGGCTACGGAGAAGGGGACAGCCTCGCGTGGTGGTGATCGGTGCTGGGTTGGCTGGCCTGGCTGCAGCCAAAGCACTTCTGGAGCAGGGCTTCACGCATGTCACTGTGCTTGAGGCTTCCTGTCACATCGGAGGCCGCGTGCAGAGCGTGAAACTCGGTAAGTGCCACCTCCTGGGTTACTTCTTATTCTCCAACACCCTAGCCCTGCCTGAAATCTCATTATTTTAGCTTCTTCCCTGGGGTAAGTGTTCCATCATACATGCTGCCTGAGTGTTTTCCAGAAGCTTTCTTTGCCCTTCTCAGCAGCTGTCTGAGGTAGGCAGGATGGCCTCCATTTTTGGAGCATGACCTAGGGTTCACAGTGTTTTAGGAGGGAGAGGATATCCAGAACAAAGTGTCTTGATGGTGGGTTGACCAGTTTCTATTTCACAAGAAGAGGAATTCTGCAAGTTTCTGTTAGTCATTAACCTTTGAGTATGAATTAGTATATCATGCCTGAGAGCTAGTTCTGGGTCAGTAGAAGCTCAGGGCAACACAAGTGGAAGGGGACCTTGAGCTGCCTTGTGGATGATGGGCAGGTCTTAGGATTGTCTGAGAAGAGGGTCTGTCTAGGTTGTAGAGTTATGGGGACTCTGGAGAAAGCAGACAGGTAAGAGACTCACCCAGGGGGAGACAGATTTTGCCAGGGGTCCTAAAGGATGGGGAAATTGCCTAAAATGCAGCTGGAGGTTAGGGCTTTCCAGCTAGGGGGTCTGAGCAATGAGAGGTTGAGTGGGTGGGGACCATGCACCATGGCTTTGAATCTGGGGGCTGCATTAACCCTCCAGAGGACCTTGTATTTGTGTCTTTTCTCATATGGGGCTGAGCAGATCTGTGTGCCTACTTCTGATGGATGGGGAAACGAGCTTAGAGAAGTAAGTGGTCAGGCTTAGAATAAGCAGAGGTTGAGGACACATGGGGACCTCCTCCCTTCTTTCAGAAATTTGATCACATTAAGAGTCTTCCCCTCAAGCATTTGCTGGGAGATGAGCGTGAAGTTGTGTCTGTCTTCCCCTGGCACACAGGAGTGTGTTCTGGCAGTGAGGATGAAAGAGTTGTCTGAGGCACTTGTAAACCTGGGGACAGCCAGCAGGGAAGCCCTGGAACTTTGCTTGACATTTGATTGGCTGGCTGGATCCTTAGAGTCTTGATAAGACATTCAGGGTCTGACATAGAAGCAGAAGGTGGAGGTGGGGACAATGGCCCGCTCTCAGTGGTAGCTGCCGGCTAGGACATGCCATGCATGCAGTGAAATGATGGTACAAGGCAGCAGAAGAGATGGGTTGAAGGGAGCTGAGGGCATGTAGGATGTGTCTAATGGGGCAGGAAGGCTGCTTGGGCACACCTTGGAAATTGTCCGGGCTGGGGCACACGTGAGAGAGAGACGGTGGGGGTGTGGGGTTGTGGGGGGAGAGGAGGAGAGAATGCGTGCAGATATGCAGGGCTGAAAACCCATGCTGTCACTGAGCCTGCCTCAGTTTGGGATGGTAGCTGTGAATCTGAGTGGTGAGAGCAGGGGCCAGAGGGTCCCAGAACACTGTGAGGCAGATGTGGAGATGGCACCTGGTTCCATTTGGTTGCATTCATGTCACAAGGATGATGGAGGCAGAGGGCCATGTTGGGGGGTGGGTAGGAAACATCCTTAGAACTAGGGCCTGTTCTGAGCTGCCCCACCTCCTCACAAAGCTTGGGGGATAGGGGTGGGCTGCTGACCTCAAGCTGCTCACTTTGTTCCTGCTTTTGCCAAGTGTCAAGCCAGGAAGGGTGCCCCGTGCCTGGATGTCACTCCCAAGTGAGACTTGGAGGTTCCCGGCATGCCCTGGAGAGGGGCCCAGGTCCCTCCCTAGGGTGATTTCTCCCTTCTGTTCCCATTGGGAGCTCAAGCAAGGCCAGACACTTTGGGAAGCCTGAGGCTGTAAAGGAGAATTAGTATAAATGGCCTCAATGCCCACAAAGAACCCACTGGAGGTAGGGCACTGGGTTTTCAGATTTTCATGCTCTCCCATCTTCCCACTTTTTCTAGACAGAGGGACCTACACATTCCTGCCTCTTCTCCCAAAGACACCAGGAAATTCTGTGTTTTGTTGGCTGTGGTGTGAGGTTGATAGTTTTTTCTCTTGCCGTGTAACTGGCACCTACCTGCCTGCAGGGCTGTTTTTAGTACCTGGCAGCTTAATTAGAAGCAGCCCAGGAAAGGGAAGGCACAAAATAGAAGAATGTCCAGTTCCTGGGGTGAGGGGTGATGCTGTCTTTTATGGCATATCAGATAGCTATTGCTGCATAACAAACCACCCCAAAATGTAGTGGCTCAAAATACCCCCATCTTATTTGTCAGATTCTGTGCATCAGAAATGTGGGCAGGACTCTTACCCTTACTTGGGATCCCCCACCCAGCTGTAGTCATCTGGCAGGTTGACTGGGGCTGGCTTGTGTAGGATGGCCTTACCTGTGTGTTTGCTGGTTGGCGCTGGCTTTTTGACTGGGACATGTGTCTCCAGCAGGAGAAGCCTGGGTTTTTTCTCTGGGAAGGTTACATTCTAAGAGACTGGAAGCCACAGGGCTCTCTTGAGGCCTAGGGTCTATAGCCACAAACATCACTTCCCTTACATTCTATTAACCAAAGCAAATCACAAGGCCAGCCCAGATTCAAAGGTCATGGGCAAAGTTGTGTTGCGAAGGGCCTTGTGTACAAGGATAGGAGGAATCGTGGTGCCTCTCATGGCCCAAAGTTTACTACACATGATATCTTGAATCAGGCTTTGAAAAACAACAAAATGCCAAAAAAAAAAAAAATACTCCTCTCTCTTCTCCTTTCTTTGTTTCAATTTCCTTGGGAACTAGGCGGAGAAGAAGACAATGTGCTACAGTCCCTGCAGCATCAGAAGAGGAAACTGAGGCCCAGACACAGAGGCAACTTGCCTCAGAGCAGCTGGTACCTTGGCTGTGAAGAGCCAGCCCCAGTCCCTGTCCCATTAGGGCCCAAGACTTACCCCTGCCTCAGTCCAGCTCTCAGGTTCTGCCACCTGTGCCTTAGTATGGAAAGCTTAATTTTCTCTGGAAGTCTGTTTCAGACTGCCCTGAGGAGGAGTCTTCCAAACTGGAATGTTTGCCCTCTCTCCTCTGTCCCAGACTGAGTTGGAAAAGGGCCACTTTCTGTCCAGGAGAGGGGCTAAGACTAGGACCACTATGTTGAGGAATTGGATAAGGTCAGATGGGAACCTTAGGTCTGGAGGGCAGGACCTCCTCATGGGTTCTCTTTACTGGGTGTTGCAGGTAGTTCTGCTCCCCTCACTGGGACCACTGTACCCTCAGGTGCCCACAGAATATCTTCAGAGGGGGATGCACCAATGAGGAAGGAGAGAATGGTATCTGGTGTTACATTAGAAAAAGGTGGGATGGAAAAGAAGAATCTCCTACCTAGTCCAGTGAGGTGCCTTGGGCAAACCACAGAGTCATCCAGGGTGGCAGGTATCTTAGCTGTAAAGTAGAATCCATTCTGTGCCACAAGCGCTTTCTGCTGGGAGCTTTTCACTGAAGAGTTTGGTTGGTTGCCAGAGGGGAACCTAATCCTCTTCCTGCTCTGTTGTGGATGGGTGTGGAAGGATCCTCTTGGAAGAAGAAGGGTGGGGTGTAGATGGGTGTGGAAGGATCCTCTTGGAAGAAGAAGGGTGGGGTTGCATTCTGGTTGTTTCTGAAGAAGTCCTTGCCTCTCTAAGGGCTTGTTGCTTGTTGTTGTCACCATCAGGACACGCCACCTTTGAGCTGGGAGCCACCTGGATCCATGGTTCCCATGGGAATCCCATCTATCATCTAGCAGAAGCCAATGGCCTCCTGGAAGAGACAACTGATGGGGAGCGCAGTGTGGGCCGCATCAGCCTATATTCCAAGAATGGTGTGGCCTGCTACCTTACCAACCATGGCCACAGGATCCCCAAGGACGTGGTTGAGGAATTCAGCGATTTATACAACGAGGTGAGTTGTTAACAGGGACGTTGGGCACAAGGGATGGGGGGCAGAGAGTGCCCTGGCAGTGTGGGGGAAGCAGGCAACCTGCTGGGGTCTTCTACCATCTCTGTGACATCTGTGCACACTCTATGGACTCCAAATTTGGACAATCAGGGTAATTTGAGGATAGAATGAAGGTAATAAGTGGAGAAGTACTAGTTAAGAGAATATTGATACACATGACTAAATATTTCTCCAGAAAGGCCTTAAACATCTTTTATTAGATATGTTACTAGGTGCTTGGGTGGTGATTGTTGTTGTTTTTGCTTTTGGATACTCTTGTAAATGGTAATTTTTAAAAACTATTTTTTAGTTGTTCCTGGCTTATGGGACTATAACTGATTTTTATATATTGATTTTAGCTATATTATTAAGTTATTATTTTAATTTTACAACTATATTAATATATTAATTTATATTCTAATAATAATTTTGGAATTTTATGTATATAATCCTATACAAAAAAGGAAAATTTTGTTTCTTCTTTTTTCATCCTCAGATCAGTGTTATCCACTAGAACTTTTCATGATAATGGAGATGCTTGAGGTCTTCACTATATGGTATGATAGTCACTAGGCCCTTGTGGCCCTTGAGCTCTTGAAATGTAGCTAGTAAAACTGAGGAAATAAATATTTAATGTAATTTTAAATGCCACAAGTGTCTAGTGGCTTCTGTACTGGATAGCACAGCCTAAGACTATTTATTTTTCTTGCCTTATTGCACTGGCTAATATCTCTGTAGTGTTAGATGGAAGTGGCAGTGGCACACATCCATGTCTTATTTAGGGTTTTAAAAGAATGTTAATATTTTTAATATCTTTCAGTAGTGCTGGTCAACTGCACTGAATAAGCAAGGTAACATGTAGGTCCTGCCTTCTGATAGCTTGCCATTTATAGTAAAATGACCCTTCACTCCAGGTCAGTAAATTGACCAACAAGCACCTACTATACATTTTCTGTGTCTTGGGCATAGAAAAGGAGATATGACTCTTTCTTTGTGGTAGTCCCTGCTCAATGGAGGGCAGGCACATTTTGTCTTAGGCATGTGCACCCACAAAGTGTATTGTGTACAGTTCCACGGTATTGTGTGTTCTCGCTCATGTGCAAAGAAACTGAATTATTAATGAGAAGATAAGAACTAGTATTCTTCAAAGTCAACCTTCCCAGTCTACTGGGAACCTGTCACACTCTAATTCCTAGGTTATTGTGAGTGCTTGAACCATAGATGCCTCTTGAAAATGACTTTCAGGATCCATGTTCTTTTAAATGTCTTTTAAATGTTCTTAAGAGTAGATCATCATCAACTTCTGCTTGTTGGTTTGATTGCTGAAAGCCAAAAGTGTGTGAGCTGTGCAGAGTAGGGGATTATCAACCTGGGTGGTGATGCTTTGCGTCAGAGGGAAGAGGTGTTACCCACGAAGTCAGGAGATAGATTTCCCTATGTGATTCTTAACCAGTGCTGGAGGTCATTCTCTAAGGTGTGTTCTAAGCATGTGAAGCCTGAGAGTGGCCTCATAATAAATATGCAGCCTCCTTCCAAAGGTGGTGACTTTGAAGGGCTACTCATTTGAATGTATTATATTTGTTAACAAATAAATTATTTGTGCAGTAGTATCATACAGATTCAAATACCAGCTCTACCATTTATTAGCTGAGTAATCTTGAGCAAGTTATTGAGCCTCTCTGAGTCTTTCCTGATCAATAAAATGGATATAGTCATACCTACTTCATCATGTCATGAGGATTAAATGTGAACCTGATGAAAAGCACCTAATAAGAATTGGTTGGTAGTATTAGCTGTTATAGACCTGTCTTCTTTTTCTCAGGTCACACTGTGAAGATGTCATTTAACTCAGGCCAAGGGACTGTACCCATATGATAAACCCATGTTCAGTTAAGGCTGTCCTTGGTGGCGGTTGACACAAAGGATCACATAGATGGACTGGATTCGGTACTCTTCAGCTGGGCATTTTGACCCATAGTCAACATAAACTAATGCTGGCTACCATGTTGCTTATCACTGAAGGACAAAACGCTCAGGGAGGAAGAGGCCAGCTGAAAGCCTGACTCCTTGGCCAGTGGTACTGGGTGAAGAATTTGCTGAGGACTCCAGTTAAGGCCAAACACCCAGTATCTTGTGACTCCAGGGAAGAAAAACAAGAAATTTAATTCATTTTCTTCTTTATATTTTATATTTCAGAGACATGTTTAATTCATGTTTCTATCTCATGTGGGGGCTCTTCCCTTGAATGGAATGTTGGTGGGGTGGGCAATGCTACCTTCCTTCCTCCACTCTGCAGCTCCCAGGGCCTAGACCAGGGCTGGGTTCCAGGGCAGAAATTATTCCCATGCATATGGGCTGACCAAATTCCAACTCACTTTAGGAAGAGAAATGTACCATAAATCAGTATCAGCCACAGATGTTTGGTCAAGGAGCCCAGACTTGCCAGTGACCCAGGAGGGAGAGTGGGTATGTGATCATGCTCACAGCCCTTCAGTGATGCCAGGGTTTTGGATAAAGTCCAGAGTCCTTGACATGACTCTTGGTCCTTTATGCCCCCACCCCTGGCTGCCTTTCCAAAGCCATCTCTTGAAATGTTGTCTTTTCTCGCTGCCCACTTCAGCAAGACTGGGCCACTTTGAATGCATCTCACATTCACTCTCTCTCTCCCTCATCTTGAGTATGCTGTTCCTTCTGTCCAAAATACTTTTTCTCTCCCACCCACTGCCAACCTGGCTGTCTCCTGACTGGCCAGGGTATGTGGGTTGATCTCAGACTCCCTGGATTCTTTCCTGTCACCGCACATCACATAGAAACAGCCCAGTTATGGTGTTTCCCCAACTTGAGTGAGGGCAGGGGCTTTGGACTGTGTAGTTCTTGCTCACCATTACAACCTGTGCCTGGTACAGAGCCTAGGAAATGTTTGTTGAGTGAATGTTAGGGAGACCTTGCCCTTTGAGGATCCCATGCCTGACCCAGGACTGGCTTACTTTCATCAGGGAGTCCTGCCCAGTGTTGGTGGGAGTTATATACTAGGCAGGCAGGGGAGGCAATAGGACCCCGCTCCAAAGGACTTTTCATCCCTTTCTGTTGATGAGATGTGCACTGGAATTCTTGCCAAAATATGCCGATGAAATGTGTTTCCATTCCTCAGCACACTAGGACCTCCCTCCTCTCCACATGCCTTGCCTGTCATGGCCATCTTGCTTAAGTGTATCTGAGTCCTGTGATACAGGACACTTTTGTCAACCTGAGCAGGGCCAGGGAGGGTCTCCTGAGAGATCAGGTTTCAGGGTCCCTTCTTTCTCTTCCCCAAATACTGGCCAGACCACAGCCCCAGACGGCCCCACTGGGAGCAGGCCAAGCAGACATGCTGGGGCAGAAGCGGCAGGAAAAGGGTTTGCACATCTGGTTTTTGGAAAAGAGAAATGTGTGCAGCCTGGGTTCTCCAGCGGGTGGTATGCTTGGCCACATAGAACCCGTGAGAGGAGCATTCCTTTTGCATAGACTATAGGCACCAAGTGTTTCACTTTGTTCTAAACAAGGGCCCAGCTAGAGAGCCTTTGCACCTTCCCCGCAGACCCAGGTGGCCTTTAAAGGTGATATCTGGAGGCAAGAGAGCTGGCCGTCTGGGGTAGCTTCCCAACCCTGAACCTTGACCGTGTCAGTGCAGCCTCAGGGCAGCACTGAGCACCACAACCATTCCTCAGGGGAGAGGGGCTGTGGGCTCAGCATGTCCAGGAATGTCTGGGAGGTGGCAACTTTTGAGTTGCGGTCCTTTGGTCCAAGATGGAGGTGGGATGAGAAAGTGTGTTTTCAGTCTCCTGGGGTCTCTCTGGCAGGTCTATAACTTGACCCAGGAGTTCTTCCGGAATGGTAAACCAGTCAATGCTGAGAGTCAGAACAGCGTGGGGGTGTTCACCCGGGAGGAGGTGCGCAACCGCATCAGGAATGACCCTGACGACCCGGAGGTCACCAAGCGCCTGAAGCTCGCCATGATCCAGCAGTACCTGAAGGTACTTCTGCCAGCTTGGAGCTTTGTTGAGTCCAGGTGCCAGAGGGAAGAAGACCAATTCTGGGGAATCTGGGACCATAGGAGGGCAGAGCTGCTCTGAGGCCCTGCTCCCACCCCTGTCCAGCCCTGGTGGTCACCTGGCTCCTCTCTGGCTCTTCCCACAGGTGGAGAGCTGTGAGAGTAGCTCCCACAGCATGGACGAGGTGTCCCTGAGCGCCTTTGGGGAGTGGACAGAGATCCCCGGTGCCCATCACATCATCCCCTCCGGCTTCATGCGGGTTGTGGAGCTGCTGGCCGAGGGCATTCCAGCGCATGTCATCCAGCTGGGGAAACCCGTCCGTTGTGTGCACTGGGACCAGGCCTCGGCCCGCTCCCGGGGCCCTGAGATTGAGCCCCGGGGCGAGGGTGACCACAATCACTACGCCGGGGAGGGCGGCCAGGGTGGAGAGCAGCCCCGGGGTCCCGGGCGGGACGAGGACGAGCAGTGGCCGGTGGTGGTGGAGTGTGAGGACTGCGAGGTGATCCCGGCGGACCACGTGATCGTGACCGTGTCGCTGGGCGTGCTCAAGAGGCAGCATGCCAGCTTCTTCCGGCCAGGCCTGCCCTCCGAGAAGGTGGCTGCCATCCACCGCCTGGGTATCGGCACCACCGACAAGATCTTTCTGGAATTCGAGGAGCCCTTTTGGGGCCCCGAGTGCAACAGCCTACAGTTTGTGTGGGAGGATGAGGCGGAGAGCCGCACCCTCACCTATCCGCCCGAGCTCTGGTACCGCAAGATCTGCGGCTTCGACGTCCTCTACCCGCCCGAGCGCTACGGCCACGTGCTGAGCGGCTGGATCTGCGGGGAGGAGGCCCTCGTCATGGAGAAGTGTGACGACGAGGCGGTGGCCGAGATCTGCACGGAGATGCTGCGGCAGTTCACAGGTGCGGCCCTGCACCCCCTCAGGCCTCTCTCCCTCCACCGCCCTCGACGCTCTGGATCTCCTGAATGTGGGGTAGCACCCCGCACGCCCAGACTGGGAAACCGAGCTGGCGTGCCTCAGGGGAAAGCTACCGCAGGGTGCCCGGTCTCAGCTTCGGCCCCTAAATTGCTGGCTCCCCCAGTTTGGAACTTGAAATATGCAAAACCGTAGGCACTGGGTTTCTTCTCTTTCTAAGTGCTGATGATTAAAAAGAACTCAGCTATCACCGCAAAACCTCAGCTTGCCCATTTCCTACTCTTACAGTCCTGCCAAGAGGTGGGGGTGTGTGTCACTGTCTGATTGTTTTAGTTGACCATCTCTCATCCATCTCCCAGAAGAGCCTCACAAGAACCCCTGGAGCCTGAAGGGGAAACATGATCATCTGGAATGTTTTTCAGATAGGAAAATTAAGGCCTAGAGAGATGAGGTGTTTTGCTGGGGGTCGTAAGGAGGTATTGAGGTGACACAGCTGGAATGCCAGCCTCCCTCTCCCTCCCCTGTCTTCCTGCCTACTGGTGGTAGTCTGGCCTTCATGGAGCCCTGGAGGTGGAGTGGGAGTTGTCTGCACAGGGGTGCCTTCTGTGTGCAGCCATTTCTTATCCTCCCTCCCCTTGGCTCTTCCGCCTCCCCAACAGGGAACCCCAACATTCCCAAACCTCGGCGAATCCTGCGCTCTGCCTGGGGCAGCAACCCCTACTTCCGGGGCTCCTATTCGTACACACAGGTGGGCTCTAGTGGGGCAGACGTGGAGAAGCTGGCCAAGCCCCTGCCGTACACAGAGAGCTCCAAGATGGCGGTGAGTGTGGTGTGTGAGGAGGTGAGGATTGTCTGTGAGGGGTGGGTGTGGGCCTTTTGTATGTGTATTTGCCCCAGGGGGAGGGTGGGAAAGGTAGTGGTCACTGAGGGGTGCCAGGGTGAGATGGGTGGAGTAGCTCCTACAATGAAAGAAAAAACAAGCTCTGGAAGAAAAGATGGAATCAAATTTAAACGTTACATGCTTTGGGGTTATAAAAATGGAACCATTTAATGCTGTGCTTTACAGTATGGTAGCCATTAGCCATGTTTAAGTTAATTAAAATTTAAATTAATAAATTAAAAGTTTAGTATTCATTTGCAGTAGCCACATTTCAAGTTTGATAGTCACATGGCGCTAGCAGCTACCATGTTAGGTTGTGTAGTTACAGAACATTTCTATCATCCTAGAAAGTTCTGTAGGACTGACTCAGTGGAAGTAAGTTTTTCCAGTATGTTTTGTATATTTTTTCCCCCTAATACGTTCTAGAAAATAAAATTGAGAATATCCGTCTTCCCCCAAATTATATCAACCATATAATAAATAATAGAGAAAAATAATTAAGTCTGAGAGAAATAAGTATATATCTGCTCCCATAAAGTGGATTTTGAGTTTCCCTCACCAAGCATATACATACAATAAATGTTAAAACCCCAACAGAATTCTGTTTAAAACAATTCTTTGGTGTAATTGGTGAAGAGGATTTCAGTCAATGTGTGTTGTGCCTGCCCTGGCCGTGCTCGGGGAGCGAGGAATAGGCCCTCACAGCTGTTGCAGCTATTCTCCTGAAAAGCAAATCTTTGCTTGTCACCTGCATCACTTAGGACTAGTGCATATAACAAAAGCAAAACAAAAATAATTGTGGCTTAAGCAAAATAGAAATTTACTTCCTTCACACAGAAGGAAATCTGGAGGTATGTGTCAGGACCCAGGATCATAAGCACCTGGCTCCATCTTCAAGGCCACCTGGTGGTCCGAGAGGGCTGCAGAGGCTGCTGCCCTCACATCTGTGACCGGCAGGTTGGCGAAAGAGGAGAATCATCATGTCCACTCCCCACCACCTGGCTGAGGCACTGCTTCTAAGCTACAGTGCTTGAAGCTGATTGGCCAGAACTTAGTCACATGACTATACTCCAGCTGCTAGAAAGGCTGGTGGTTTACATCATTTTTTTTCTGGATGGCAAAGGACTCAGTTACAAATCAGGGCTTTGTTACTGAGGAGGAGGAGGAGAATGGATGTGGGAGTAGGCAGCTTGCCCTCTGCCACAGCATGTACACCCTTTCAGCCTAACCACTTCTGTGGGCTCCTTGTTGGTGGGTTAAAGCTTCACTGCTCAAAGTGGGTGGTCTGTGGACCAGTAGCATCGGCATCATATGGGAGTGGGTTAGAAATGCAGACTCTCAGCCCACCCAGGACCTGCTGAATTACCTGCCTTCTACCAGAGTTCCCAGTTGGTGCCTTTGCACGTTCAGTTTGAGATGCACTGGGATCAAGTCCAAACTCAAGCTTGGAATGCAAGCCACTGTGCTTTGCCTGGACCCCACCCAGACAGCCTGCTTTCTCAAGGTTGAGCCTGGCTTTACCAAAATTCTCACTGTCCTCTGGATGAGGACTGCTTAGGTCCATTTTTGCCCCCACTTTTCCTTCTTCCCGAAACATAATTTGCCTGTTTATTTACCCAGCATGTTCCAAGAAGCAGCGCAAAGGTCCTGTCTTCTCGGAAGTTTTGTGCCATTCCCAACAGTGGGCCTCTTTTCTGGGCTCTCAGCACCTCACCCAAACACCCATCACGTCATGTATGACGCCGTTTAGTAATTGGGTTTCGTGTCTGGCTTCCCCACCAGCAAGGAAGCTCCTCAAAGCAGCAGCCCGGTCACCTTTTATCTTCCAAGTGCCCAGAACAGTCCCTGGACTCTAATAGGGGCTCCGTAAAGGTTTGTTAAATTACCGCCTAACTTTATCGAGTGCTTATGTTCTTCAAGGTTTTAAGCGCTTTAGATACATTATTTCAAATCTTTGCAACCACCCTGAGAAGTAGTTGTGTTAAACCCATTGTGCAGATGGGAAGATCTAAGCATAGGGAGGTTAAACGACTTACCCTGAGTTCACTAGTGAGAGGCACCATGAGCCTCCAAGATGGCAGAGCCAGAACTCCTAAAAGCCTCAGAGCAGAAAGAACTGAGGCCTGGATGGGGAAGAAACACGGGAAGGTGGCCAGGTGGGATGGGCAATTCCTTGTCCTACAGAAGCAGCAATACCTTCATCTCAGAGGCCTGATCATTCCTCTCTGCCTTGTAGTTTGGATGGGGGGCTCTGGGGCAGACAGGTAGCCTCTCAGCCTTTCTTGCTCCTCCACCTCACTTCCCCGCCCTGGCCCAGCCCATGCAGGTGCTGTTCTCTGGTGAGGCCACCCACCGAAAATACTACTCCACCACCCATGGTGCTCTGCTCTCTGGCCAGCGCGAGGCATCCCGTCTCATCGAGATGTACCGAGACCTCTTCCAGCAGGGGACCTGAGGGCCCTCATCACTACCAAGCGTGTTCCTTAAAGAACCACTAACTCGTGACTGCCCCTTGCTGCCATGTGCTCCTAATTTCCTAATTCTCTGTAGAATGGATATGTATCTTTTGTAGAGCTAGACACCCTGACTAGTTTCACCCTGGCCCTGTAGCTTTTCCTTTTCTCTATGCCAGGTGGCGACCAGGGTGGGGCTATTGATTTACCTCTGTGCTCTGACCTCTGACCTTCCCATGCCTCCCCTCCCTCCTTGTTATTGTAAGTGCCTTCAATACTTTGCATTTTGGGGATAATAAAAGAAGCTTGCCCTTCCTGAGCTCCTCAGCTTCTCTCTTCCATTTTCCTCAGCCTCTTGTGTATGTGTGGTTTTTTATCACACCCTCTTTGAGTGAGGGGATTGTGGGGGGAGCTGTGGCCTGGCTGTGCCCCCAGGAGGGAAGGTGCCTGCCTTTACTGAAAGGGGGTATCTTCTCACCCCAATCTGTTTCTGGTTGTTTGCCTTCCTGCTAGCAAGACCCCACAGGGATCAGGGCCCCTCACTGCCCAGTCCCTGCTCCTTCAGGACAGACCTAGGTCTTCCCGCTGGCCCTTTGCCAGATTTCTCAAGGCCTGACTGGGTGTCACAGACACACGGAATGGAGGTGAGCTCCACGGGAGGCACACCTGTTGTGGCTCCAAGCCAAGCTCAGATGTGTTAATTATTAATCAGTGTCACCTGGCTGTTTGGGGTGGCTGCTTTTGGCTTCTGGGAAGGTGGATAGTCCGGCCATTTTTTTGGCAGGGGGATATCCCTAAGTGTTGACCATCTGCTCTGTTCCAAGGGCCTACCACTTATTGGGGGAGAGTCTTTGTTCTTTTTGCTGAGTGAAGACACACACACACACACACACACAACCTTACTTACACACATATCTATATACACTCCCGCAGATGTACTACTCACACCCTTACACAGACACACAATATGTCTACACGCATGCATAGAACCTTAAAGAACATTTAGTCATTTTCTTACTCCAGTGATGGAGTTTGAATTCTATAGAGGGGTTGGGTAGCAGAGGAAGTTGTGAAAAGACAGATGGGACCCCTGGTTAATTATGTATGAGATCAGGATGGGGACCCTTCTTGAAGTTTAGGGCACTGCTCTTCATGTGACTGCATCCTCTCCCTGCTCACCTCATGTTATGATGATGTCCAACACAGTGACACCTATTCCCATACCTGCCTGCATCCACCTACATGCACACCTGTCAGGTACACCCACCTACACACACACTGACAGGCATCCTTGCTTTGCCAGGGTTGATCTACCAGTCATCTTCGTGGAGTTTATGGCAAGGATTCATAGTCAGCCGATGGGTAACTTAAAAAAAAGTAAGTATGTTTAAATTTCTTGAACGGAGGATCTGTTGATGTGGCTCAAGCTCACCAGTCATAGAGGATACACTGAAACAGCCCCTCCCTCACCTGTCCCCAGTACCATTGCTGCTCCCCACAGTCCCGAGTTATTGGTGTTTTGTGTATCCATTTCTAGATTTGTCAGTATAAATACACACCTTCTGTCTCCTTTTATTTTTATTTTTATTTTATTTTGGTATCATTAATCTACAATTACATGAAGAACATTATGTTTACTAGGCTCCCCCCTTCACCAAGTCCCCCCCTCTGTCTCCTTTTTATATGAAAGTGACAAAGTAGTCAGCTTGTGTTGCAGTTTGCTTGGTTTAGTAAATGTTCTTGGAGGTCTTTCTGCAACCTTACTTAAATAGACAGTGTAAATTTGGATCTTACTTTAATCAAGGTGCGTCTGTCTCCTTCCTCCTGGTCCAGAGTGGCTCTGTGGGAAGTACCTTCTACTAACTTCACTCCAGAGGCACTGATGGAGGGCGGCCCCTCCCCACATCCTGGAATTTTCCCTGCTTACTGTGGTGGGGTGACAGAAGTGTCACATAAGTATGGGGGAAGAAAGTTAACAAGTAGATTCTCAGGATCACAAGCATAGAAATTTGGAAGAACACAATGGGGGTGAAAGGGGCCAGTAATGCTTATTCAGTGATTACATGTTGGGTAGCGTTTTTCATGGTGTGCAAGAGGGAGGAGAGAATATTCTCTTAGTGCCAACCCCCTGCCAGGCGGGCTATCAATCATACATGCTGGGCACACAGTCTCTTGGCATGGATGCCAACTGAGGCTGGGGCAGGGTGGGGTGTGATTTATCCCCATGGGGAAACAGTAAGCACCTACGGTCACTCAGGTAGGTGGTAATGCCGAGACTTGAAGCACTTCATGGTTCAGGCTCATTCTATTTATTGCACAATGAAGGGAGGAGGCTGGTGCCATCTAAAAAGAAAAAAAAAATCTGAGGCCATTGCTGGAGAGAGTGGAAATGGAGAGGATCTGTGTGGCAGGTCTACGAAGCTGCTCATGTGTCTGCCAGGCTCTTCACTCCTGGGTATACATCCAAGAGAAACGAGTGTGTGTGACCAACAAAAACACAGACTGGAATGTTCACGGCAACATAGTTCATAATACCTAAAAACTGGAAACAGGAGAAATGTGGGATCAACATATAAATCAAGTACAAAAATCAAACGAATATTCATATCTGACCTGATTGTTTATAGGTCATAATGCATGATCAAAACCGAAAGTATCTGTGATGAATGCCCTTGTACTGTTCACCATGTAAGAATTTATTCACTATGTAAGAATTTGTTCACCATGTAAGAACTTGTTTGTTATGCTTCAGAAGATTGGAGACTGACGAGAATTAGGCTTGAGATGGATTAATGATTGTACATTGAGCGTTGACCCCCCTATACTGAATTTTATTGTTGTTATCAACCATTTGATCAATAAATATGAGAGACGCCCTCTAAAAAAAAACAAAAAAACAAAAAAACAAAAAAACTGGAAACAGCCCAGACGCCCACCAGTAGTGGAACAACAAACTGTAGTGCATTCATACAATGAAATACAATTGACCCTTGAATAATATGGGTTTGAACTGCTCAGGCCCACCCACTTATATGTGGATTTTTTCAATAAATACATTGGAAAAACTTTGGGAGATTTATGACAAGTTAAAAGCATGTTCTTATGTCTAGCTTGATTTTGTAAGAGTATGGCATATGATACATATACAAAATATGTGTTAATCGACTATTCTTGCTATTGATAAGGCTTCCATTTGACAACAGGCTATTAGCAGTTAAGTTTTTGGGGAGTCAAATGTTATAAGCAGATTTTTGACTGTGAGGGAATTGGCATGTCTAATCCCTACGTTGTTCAAGAGTCAACTCTATTGTGTACCAATAGAGTAAGAGGAACTGGTATTTGCATCCACATGGATTAATCTAAAAAACATGTTGAGTGATGATAATAAGGGTGAATGTAGTAACCACATTGTTGTTCTTGTGAAACCTTCATCAGAGTGTATATCAATGATACCTTAATAAAAAAAACAAAAAAACAAAAAAAAACATGCTGAGTGAAAGAAGCCAGACACAAGGCTATGTACTATATGGTTTCTTTTTATATGAACTTCAAGAACCTGTCAAGCTAATCTATGGTATTAGAAATGGAGGTAGTGCCTGGGAGGGAGTATGGCAGTGCTTTCTGGGTTGTGGAAATGTTCCATATCTTGATCTGGGTAGAGATTGCGTTTATACAGTGGATTTGTGCGTTGGTAAAAATACATTGGGTTATATACTGAAGGTTAATGCACTTCCCTGTATGTAAGATATAACTGAATTTTAAAAGTTTTTAAAAAAAGAGTCTGAGGACACCCTTACCCCTAAACCTCCCATCCCAAATATATGGTTGTTTTGGCCCAGCCAGTTTCCTCCTTGCGGCTGAGATGATGCATCCTGAGAGCAGATAAAGAGAGGAAGGACCTACTTATGCCCTGCCGGCTGCTGGGTGATAAGGATTAGCCTTGCATTTACATAGTATGTCACCATTAACTAGACCCCTTGCCTGTGTCCCCCCATCTGGACATCTGTGGCCATGGGAGGGAGGTGGGGATTTTTTGCAGAAGAGGAAATCGAGGTTCCCAGAAGGACCTGTGTGGGACTGTGCAAGGCTGTACAGCTTGGAGAGGATGCCATCTCATGTGGAGCAGAGCACCCCGGGAGGTGGGTGGAGGGAGCCTGGGAACACACAGGTGGAGACAGGTGTGTGGGGCATGACCTGGAGAGTTTCCCAGAACAGTCAGCCCTCAGTGTGCTACGTCCACACCGAAGAATGGCATAGTGTGGGTAGCACTTAGGATTTGCAGCTCCAAAGCCAGATTCAAGATAGATTCAGAAAAGCAAGGGCTGTTCAGAAGCAAGTAGAGAACAGATGTGCTGGGGACATAGGAAGAGTTTCTTGCTGGGACTGGGTTTCTGAAGCAGCCCGAGTACAGACTGAAACCCAAAGGCCAGTAGCAGGGTGGCACATGTGTCCTGCTCGGGCCAACATCCATGGCAGTGCCTGTTACACGATTCCTAGTGTCTGTAGAAGGTCACATGAGAGGAAAGTTCTGGCACTGAGTCTAGGTAGGATTGTTTGCATGGTTTCTTGTGCTGCAGGCTTCATTTGAATCCACAGGCAAGGTATTTAGTGATGACCCGGCTGCTCAGCAGGTACTGTCTCCTCAAGTTTTCCTGCTGTGGGACAGGGGAGCAGTGTGTGAGACCCCACTTCATGGATGCCATTTGAAATGTCTGCCCCACCCATAAATGTAGGAGGGAAGCGCCTCTGGCTGGAGTCACCCCACATGGACTTGGGCCTGTTGGTACGAGCCCAAGGCTATCCCAACGTGCAGAGTGAGGTGGGCTGCTGGTTCAGTTCCAGAGAACTGCCTGTCTAATGAATCATCTGCCAAACGCGGCTGTGTTTCTCGTAATGCCTGCCTGGGATGTTTGCCGAAGTGCTCCTGATTTGTGTAGGGAAATCAAATCTCAACAAGTGTGGCCCTACAGAGGTGGCATCCAGGACATCTAAGCTCATGTTAGGTATTTAGTATAAGAAAGGAAGGGGCTGGTTACGGCCCTGCTTCATACTATTTAATGAAGGTGATGGACATAAAGCTGTTCCTGTTCCCCTGCCGCCCTGATTCTAGCAGTGATTGTTGAACATTGAGTTTGCAGGAGTGTTTAAAATCTGGGTCCCTGTTAGGGGATGCGAAACATTAGCCCCATTTTATTTCAGTGAACTCAGTATTTGTACAATTTTTGGTTCTCAGTTTCACTTTTTGTCTTGGATCTGTCACCTTCCCTCTGCCATATATGTGGCCCATGGGGTCACACAGTCCTCTGTGCCTTAGAGCTC